CGGGCGTAGTCGAACGGTACACACTCGGTAAGCAATCCTACAATTTTTTGTTTATAACGTAGTTTATACGGATTATTTTCAAAAAAATATACGTATTTTGGAAATGTTGAGTCGAATTAGTCTAGAATCGATTAATTTTATGAAAGAAAACCTTTCAAACAGCCGTAGTCCGTAAACTATGATTCCTACAAAATTGATTCATAAAGAACGGAACGTATCTACTGTCTTATAGGGGGATCTACTGTATGTTCCTTCTGCCCCCAAAATTATAAGCCTGTTAAATTCAGTGAATTTAATCAAGCATGTGAAATGTCATTTATTATAAAAAATTAAAATATAAAAAAAGTCATGATTAATTAACAAACTCAACAATATGTTTTATATATATTCCCACAATCTTTCATAGCTCTGTATACAAATTTTAAATCACTCATGTTGTTTAAATCCTTATCCATTATTTTTTATTGAATCGATCAGGTATAAAAACTTGAAATTCATTCCATTCGGTGTCCATGAGAACTACAAATTTTTTATAACCAAAGCGAGTGGATACTGTTTTAAAATAATGAATTGGATATTCATAATAAATTTGCAACTCGTTTAATTTTTTCCTTCGAATATTTTGAAGTTTACCAATATTGTTTAGTTTTTTCTGTGTCTCCATTTATAAAAAAGAAAATTTAATGAATATTGAAACACTCAAAATCTGGCTCATGCTGTAAAATCTATGAATATGTAAAAATCTACCTAGTTGTGTACGTAAAAATCTACCATGAGGTGTATCAACATAATCCAAGATACGTAAATGCCCTCTTCCATCTTTCCAAATATAATAATTCCTTACTTTCCCACCGTAGAAAATTAATACCGACTCAACATTACTAATATTAGTCTCCATTTATATTGTATAGTGAAAAAATTATTTATCACAAATTCTTGCTAACAATGAAACAACTATATTTTTATAATTATTTTCNAAAAAAAAAAAAAAATGCATATTTAACGCATTCTCTAACTATAAATGAAGAGTGTTTAACAATTAAATTGCATTTTATTCTTAGTGTATGTTACAGTTCAAATTTATTTAATTATTATTATAATGAAAAGTTTAAGAAGATGAAATAAGGAAGATGCGGTTGACTAAAAAACCATACTAGGGATGAATGATACCTCAAGATCAGTATGAACCGCTTTAATGTCAAGCCGCTTAGAGGACACGTCTTCTTCAGAAATGATCGCAGTAGAAACGTACAGTTGCTGTAGCAACCGCAGGGAGGGCCGGAAAGGGGTGGAACTGTTCTTATCGATTGTTCTGCACAGCCATGTCTACTATCCATACTTCAGAACAATGGAGGTGAGTGAGATTTTCACTGGTTAGTAAGCAATATAAGTAACGTTTAATTCCTCTAATAACTATTTAGCTTAGACATATACAAGATTTAGTAAATATTAAGCAATTGGCTCGAATCCGCAGCTCTTTTTACATTCGTCTACGTTACCTTTTAATCTTTCGATAGTTTATTGATTATTTTTCATCATATTTACGTATTAGTTTAACCCCCCACCCAGTCTTAAAATTAAATATTAATCGAACATTCGATAATCCGAAATGTCTGGTAATTATCCAATAGGAAGTTATTTAGACACCACGCTGAAGTTCGAGCGAAAATACATTATATGTCTGGAAAATAAATATTATAAGCACACAAATTATCATAAACATTGCTTTTGTTCATTAATGTTCCAGCAGGTTTTTAAATCAATCTTAATTAACACAGCAGCATAGTCAGCTGGCCAAACAGGCCGCTGCTTCCAGCCTTACTCCTTGCTACAACAAAATTCCTGTTTCGAAAATCAGGCAATGGACTTGGGAATTCGCTCTTGGTCAATGGCAAGAAGAATGGGATAATGGATCTACAGGCAGATTAACGCACACCTTTATTCCAAACGTTAACGAAAGACTTAAATGGAAACACTTCAAACCAATCTTCTTCATGACCCAGTTAATTACTGGTCATCAATAGCTATTTAAAAAAGTTTCATCTTAAAAACACGGACATCTGCCCCTGCAACAGTACTTCAATCCAAGACAGCCAGCATTATCTGTAGGACTGTGAACTTTTTAAACAGGAGAGAGACAGACTCATGGGGCATGTGCTCCATGCCGGAAACAACTGGCAATGCCCTAACAGCAGACTCATGGAAGACCCGAATGTTTATCGACATCTCATCAAGTTTCTGGAAACAACAGCAGCACTCAATCCACCAGCGATCAGCAGTCTGCTAGTAATGATTGATCAACTGGCTAACTTTTCTCACGACAACTGTTTCATGCTTCCAACCGGCTCCTCTTGTTTTGCACGCTTCTTATAAGCGAATTCTCACTGTACATATCATGTTAACTATTATGTATATTTATGTTGCTCTTACGTATACATTTTTTTGTACTCGCCGCTGTCTGGCGCACATCAATGTATTCCGGTCAATTCATTTTCTGTATTATGTTTTGTTATGCTTTCAATAATTGTGATGCAGGCGCCATGTACTCTCATCTGTCTCCACCACTTTGTCCCCCTTTCATCCCCTATCCTTCATCTCCCTCACTCCCATTTTACTAACTTTTCTCCTCCAACCTCCAGGTCATACCTACGAGTGGAACCTGGAGGCACCCCCTCTTTCAATTAAAATAAAAAAATAAAAAATAAATAAATAACACAGCATAGTCACACATTGTATCATATTCGGATTAATTAAATAGCGTACGTAAACAAATCGGAAGCATACAGCAGTGTACACTGGTAAGAAAATTAAGGCAATGTCCACACACTTATGAAATTTTACATAATTACGCAAACATCCGGTAACCCAGCACCACTCGGATTTCATAGATGCCGGATTAACGAACTTCTACTGTAATTTATAATTGTTTTAGGATTTATCTTCTTAGAAAACAGTTAAAACACTACAAAAGCGGCCAACGAAAACATAATTTACATAGCAAAACACTTCAATTTTGTAACTTGAGCATTCTAAAATCCAAAAGTCACGCTGAATATAACGCAATCTTAAAATTTCCAAGAAAGTTTTGAAAGTATTAACTAGTTAATACGAAAACGGCAATCACTAATGAAGTACTTCTTCAATTTCCTTCTGTTTTTATTATGATAATGAACCAGGAAATTCTAATTTTTAAAAAAAAGGGTGTGTTTTTTCAGTTTTACATTATGTAAACCAAACACTAACTCGAAATGTGTTGAGGAGGACGGAAAAAAATGAAATTTAGGTAATAATAATATCATTTTAATTAGATTAATATTTATATTTTTATAAGATGCATTGCTTTTTATCATCAGAAATCGCAGGAAACTGTGTGAGATTCGTGTATAATGGTATCGATTGTACATTGTTTATGACGTACTTCAAAAACAAGGACGTGTAAACAGTGTCAAATTTTAACTTCAAATCGATTCTATACAGTCTTAAATATAAATTATCATATATTAAAAAATCCTTAAGGATAATATATTCATTTATACTTAGGTAATACATAATAGAGTATATGTTAGGTATCTCGAGGGCATTGTTAAATATATATATATAATTTTTAAATTCATCAAAGCTTATGGCAGGTGTCATTGCTTCTTGCCAAAATTGGTCCTCAAGTTATTTATAATTCGCTCTAAATTTAAACGTTTTCGTTGCTACATAATAGAAGACAAGTCGGCGCAAAGGGTGAGAACGTACAGTACTCCTTGTTATTAAATATCAAAGATTAACATTATATTTGATCTTTGCAACTTTTAATTAGAATTAAATGTAGCTTGGATAAGTATTTCATTTAATGCTAACTTTTTTAAATTATGCAAACGTTTCGTATTAATATTTAAATGTAAAAATTTAATTCTGCGATAAAAAAAATCCTTGTAATAAATCATTTTGAGGATGAATTAAATATAAAATTCGAAATATAATTTTTGTGTTTTATCCTTATTTAACTTTAATGTTACTCGCTAGATGGCAATAGGAGGTATTTTCACATTGAAAAAAAAAAAAAAAATGCATATTTAACGCATTCTCTAACTATAAATGAAGAGTGTTTAACAATTAAATTGCATTTTATTCTTAGTGTATGTTACAGTTCAAATTTATTTAATTATTATTATAATGAAAAGTTTAAGAAGATGAAATAAGGAAGATGCGGTTGACTAAAAAACCATACTAGGGATGAATGATACCTCAAGATCAGTATGAACCGCTTTAATGTCAAGCCGCTTAGAGGACACGTCTTCTTCAGAAATGATCGCAGTAGAAACGTACAGTTGCTGTAGCAACCGCAGGGAGGGCCGGAAAGGGGTGGAACTGTTCTTATCGATTGTTCTGCACAGCCATGTCTACTATCCATACTTCAGAACAATGGAGGTGAGTGAGATTTTCACTGGTTAGTAAGCAATATAAGTAACGTTTAATTCCTCTAATAACTATTTAGCTTAGACATATATAAGATTTAGTAAATATTAAGCAATTGGCTCGAATCCGCAGCTCTTTTTACATTCGTCTACGTTACCTTTTAATCTTTCGATAGTTTATTGATTATTTTTCATCATATTTACGTATTAGTTTAACCCCCCACCCAGTCTTAAAATTAAATAAATTTTAAATTCTTTATTATTTAATTTGTAAGGAAACACAAATATATTTTGTATTAAATATAAATTCATTTCTCATATTTATAATAATATCTCATGATGCCTAAAAATGTGCTATATTTTCTTCTCACATCCGATTTTAAATGTGCACGATCGGATGTCTATCCGAATCGAAAATAACTATTTAAATTATGTAATTATAAAATATTTACTCGAAATTCCAATATATGGCAATGTAATTTCGTTATTAATTTATATACAATATGTAAATATAAAATAATAATGAAGTTATTATTTTTTAAAAGTACACGAATGTTTTTCCTCGTGTAATTTTATCAATAAAACAATAATTTAAATTATTATAACAGGGGGAAAAATAGATTTTACATTATTTTAATATAGAAACTTCAATGTACATTTTAAAAGTGATTTAATTATGTACAAAATGGAATTAATTTATAATGCATTTTTATCCTAAGATAATTTCTTTTACATAATTTTAAATACAGTATCAACTAGAAATTAAAAAAAAAAAA